GTGAAGATGAGAATAAATAAGCTGTTGCAGGGGTTAAAGGAGCCAACATGTAAAAAAGCTCTGTATTCACGGTCACTTCCCAAGTGCCTCCTTGGGCACACAGACAGTTAACCCACAAGTACATAATCCTTGATGAAATGGGTCCTGCCCACAGCTCCATCACCCACCTAGAGCAGTGGAGCCAGCCTAGGGGTGGGGGCCAGGAAGGGACCATGGACAGTGGGGAAGCCATCTGCTCCCAAGGAGCCACAGAGAAGCCTGTAGGGGCTACCCAGCCTCCCTGCCAACCAAGGACACAGCAGCCACGGCCTGGTCCAGCCCTGTCTCCATTTCTCTTTAAGAACATATCGAAAAGAGCCCTGGGGAAGATCCTGCTGAGCACGCTGGACACCTGCGGGGACCCTGCACACGGTAGGAGATCTGCCCCTCCATCTCCTAGAGCCTGGGAAGCAGCTGGAGGGCATCCTGACCGAGCAACTCTGTCTTAAGTCTGCAAAACACCGCCTCTCCCCTGCCCTGCCCACCTGCAAAGGGTACCGTCAGGCACAGGCTTCGGAAAGTTGAGGGTGCTATGTGACAAGAGCGGGGGCAGACACCCCAGGGAAGGGGCCCGACGGAAGCCAGTGTGGCCGGACCCCAGGGGAGCCAGGTGTTTCCCTGCTGGCAATTCAGACTTGCCCACAGTCCCTGGGCTTACCGCAGAAGTGGTGCTGTTATCACACCCATTCCACAGATGGGGAAACTGAGGCACAGACAGGCCAACGGCCAGCCGCCCTCGAGGCCTCAGACCTCAGGGAACACGAAGCCACGTGGCCCCGTTGTTCAGACAAAGTTCAGGGCAGAAGAATTTCATCAGTGCCAGCTCAGGCCCATGAAAGCAAGGGAGTAAGGCCGCTCTTGCCCAAAAGGGTCTCACAGGCTAAGGGGGGGCCGACGTGATGAGCCTTTGCTCGCCGGCCTCACCAGGCACCACTGGGCAGGGCTCCGTATGTCCAGTGCCCTGATGGTCCTAGAAGCCCCCTTCCCTGGGGTCCTCAATGGGAGAGGAGAAGGAGGGGGAGATGGCTGGACAGGGCGGGGGAGGGACCAGGGAGGAGGGGAGTGGCTCTGAGGGCCAGAGTGAGCAGACTGACCCACCCTCCCGCCCACTCTCTCTCTCCAGAGGAGACGTCTGCGCCCTCGGCCATCCTGGATGCCCTGCACCAGGCTCTGGCTGGCTGTGAGCTCCTGCGCAGAGAGCCCTCGGCACCAGCCTCTGCAGCTCCTGCACTCACCAACTCCCTCCTCATCTCCTGCTGAGGTCACTGGCCCGGCCTGGCCATCATCAGACCAGCCTCCAAGATCAGCCTGATCATCATCACATCCTCAGAAACCTGGAAGCACTGCACCTTCTAAGACAGACCCAAGCTCAGAGACGGGCAGCCATCCCTTCTCCTCGGGCTCCTCCTTATTCCCTGAGACCCCCTGCATTCCTGCTGCCAGGGTCCACGTTGCCCTGCAGCTGCTGGATCAGCCTGTACCTGCTGCTGCCTCCTCTGCCCCTGGATCAGAGGTGCCCACTTTTCTGCCTGGTTCTGCCCAGAATCCCTTCCCTGGGCTCCCTTCCCAGCACTGTGCCCTTCCTCCCCGCGGTGTGCCTGCTGCAGGGACTCTGCACCCCACCAGCCCACTGGGGAACCTATCCAAGCCCTAGAATGCTGGAGACCAGGCAGAGCAGGGGAACTCCAAGGGAGGAGTGAGTGACCACTGCAGGCTTCCTGGTGGAGGCTGGCCTTGAACCAGCTCTAGAAGAGCGGTAGGATGCAGGCGGGCCAAGAAGAGGGTAGGGCATTTAAAGTGAGGTAACCCCAAGAACAGGGGTGTGGTCCCATAAAGGACCCCCAGCAATGCAGGACCCAGAGCCCCTCTGTCCTGAGCAACAGGAGGCACCAGGACTCACCTCCTCATGCCCTCCCAGGAGAGAATGACACGCTGGCGGGCAGAGCGGAGGGGTGCAAGCAGCGCTAACCAGGGCAGCAGAGCCTGCAAGAGTCCCATCCAGAGGGCTCTGTGGGCCCAGGGGCACAACGCACTGCCGTGGCAGCGTGAGGGCGCTGGCGGGGAGCGGGGGCAGGCCCCGGGGCCTTGGTGACAGGCAAGACCTGGACTGGATCCCGCGCAGTG